GCTGCGCTCCCGGAGAGGACTCCAGGAGGGGCTTCCGCAGCCGTTTATCCAATCGCTTTGCCACCAGCTCGGTGTTACCGAGGATGGCACCAGAGACGTGGGCAACAGCCAGGCAGACTTGACCCCCTTTTCCCTTAATTGCTTGTGTTTACTCTCGTCCGTTAGGTCAGATTAGTTTCATCTTCRTTGTAATCTTTTAATAATACTTGTTAACTGGTAGTATCCTCTTAATCAAATTTATACATCAGACCGGTGAATATGTGCATGGAACAGGCCTTAGTTCATGTGTTTGGTTATTTCAGTGCAAGGTAAACRCATGTTAGTGACTTCAACACAAGAAAGAATCAATGAACCTTTTTTCTGTCTTTATTGCAAATGCCTTACGAGCTACCAGAACTTACACAAATTCTTTTCAATACTGCTCCACAAGTTGCATGTTGCAATTGGAAATCATTGCTATGACACAAATGGTGTGACTACAAATTACATACAGCCTGGTTGTGCTTGGGCTTGGCTTTTTCTCCTCTCTCCTGTGCCGTTTCTGATTGAAGCCCACTTCACTTAAAAATCCCTTCTTCCCCTTTGAAGAGCTCTGTCCTTGTGGCTGTCAACTTAAACAAACTTGAAGAGCAAGGCTACATGCACAGGCCCTTCTTAAGGATGCCTGGATTCTGGCCTACTTAAAGCCTTGAAGGATAAAGCTCTTGTCAGAATTGAGAGCTTTTTATTCGGAATCAGGCTGGCAAARGAGAGTAGAACAGATGTAGTGATGAGGTTTTTGTGAAGTAAACTCTTGCATTCTGGGTTAATTAAATTTATTTTGAAAGGTGTTATGCTTGCTCACAGGTACTGTAAATGCTAGTAACAYGGCCTGAAGGAGAGCTGCATGGCTCTGTCAAAACTGGCTACAAAAGGCTGTGCCCAGTCCCAAGAATTCCCCTGAAAGTGGCTGCCAAGGGAAGGTTCCAGAAGCCTGGCAGGTCAYCCTCAGTCCTATTGCATCCCTTTCTTCAACATGTGTGTAATTTACTTAAGTTACATGGTGAATTACACATAGGGACACTTCCCGGTACTTGTAGCCATGACAAGCCCTGCTGGCTTAACCCATAGTTAATGAAATGTTGGGAGACAGAGCTCAAATCCCCAGGAATGGCTGAGAGGCAGAGAACAGTGTRAGCTGTGTGCTGCTGGCTTTGGGAGTGAAAGGATCTCGTAATTCCCTCAGTGACTCCATGTATGTATTGAAAAAGAACCTCAGCTTTGAAGCTCTCCATGGGTAACCACCCAGGAGGGAGAAAACCAGCACCCAGCACGTCTGGAGAAATAAAAGGAACCTGTCTGCTGCTTTGTCCTTCAGTTTCTGTGACTCATCTGTGGGGCAACACAGCAAAAGAAGTTTTTGAGAAAGGGAAGAAAATCGTCGGAGTCCTTCTTAAAGCCAGTTTTGCCATAACCCAAAGTAAAGTCAAAGGACAAGAAGAACAAGTTTTTAGGAACTAAAAGGCAAGATGGACGTCGTCAGATCCCAAGGGATGTGATCAACAAAATAACAGCTGTATTTTCACCAACTACAAGACCACAGCTGGGAAAACAGCCCTGCCTGAAGCTGCTGGCAGAAAGCACCAGGGGAGACGTGGACTTTTCAGCTTCTCAGCCCATCCCACCAGCAAGGAAGCTGGGGGCACAAGAAGCTGCAGGGACACAGGCAGGACAGCTGACCCCACTGGCCACAGGGATGTTCTGTACCACACAGCATCGAGCTCAGCACATGAACCAGGGAAAGGTGCCTGGGGCTGCTGCTCAGGGACTGCCTGAGCATCATTTGCTTTCTGTGTTCTTCTATTACTGTTATCTATGTATAACATATAATATTATTATATGTTATACATAGATATATATTTATTAATATATTATATATAAATATATAATATTGTTATCTATGTCTAATAGATAATATACATTATAATATTATATATTATAATATATAATATTATATCTCTATCATATCTAATACATTATCTAACTATCTATTGTAACCATCACATGCCCTGTTAAACTGTCTGTATCTCAACCCACCCTTTTTTTTCCCCCTAGTTCACTTCCCCCACCCACTGGGAAGAGCAAAGTGAGAGAGGAGCTGTGTGGGGGTTCCCTGTCAGCTGCCTGACAGGTTAAACCACAACAGCAGCCCAGAACAGTGCACAGTGATCCTAAAGAAGGTTAATTCATGCAGCATTTGTTTCACTTCTTTGCTGCAATTTTTAGTCAAGCACCCACTCCCAGCACCTGCACWGTTGTGCCCCAGACTTTCACTCCAGTTTATGCTCACCAGAAATAYTGGGAAGCAGCATTTCCCAACACTTGGAAGCAGTGCACCATAAAGACACTTCTCAGGCACAAAATATTCTGAATGCATTCTTATTCCTTATACTGTTCTGAAGAGGCCAGAAATGACAGGTACTGATTCATATTTATTTTCATGCTGYRTGCTATGTAGCTAAGTCACGACTCYGCTTGCAGAAGGCACCTGTGACAATTATAGYCCTTCCCACATTATTGTCACACTGCAGAGATGGCACTGCTCCACACAGTTGCCGTGAGAATGGAAAGCAAAGCGTTTGTGTGTGCTGCTCATCATCAGCTGGATTGCTGTGCACGCAGCAGACGTGAGAGCTCAACATGTAAAGTCATGTACTCAGACCTACTCAAACACCGTGTACYTCTTACGTTCATTTGTTTAAACTGTAACAAATGTGTTACAACAGGATCTTACTCCTACACCTTATGGAAATAATGGAAGGAGCTAAAGCAGGATTATGAACTTGGAAAATATTTTTGAAACTGTTTTTCAATTGCAAAATAACCCAGGCCCTCAAAACAAAATCCCAGCCCCAGATAAGTCAGATTCAGCTCCYCCAAACTCTCCTTGTAATTCACACCTCTCAGGCTCTGGGTTTTTTTCTGTCACCTTCCTTTCTGCCAGCACACTTKGCCAAATGCTCTCCAGGCCACCACTGAGCAACACATTTCCTGTGGTTTCATGTGGAACCTTTTAGGCYGGAGTTTCTTCAAATCAGCCTTACTCTGGCCATAACATTTTATATAATGGTGCCAACAGTGATCCAGAAAATAGGAACAAAGCTCCTCATCCCCASAGAGGCTGTGAGCCTTCTACCAGCAGCATGTGAGTCTGCCTTTGAGTGACCATGGTGACATCAGTGATTCCAAATGTCCCCGAGTCACACGTGATCCCACGCACACAGACCCCATCTCTGTGTCYCCAGMTCCTCTGCCTGGAATATTTCCCARCCCATTGGCCCTRAGAGYTCAGCAGATATTGGTGTGCTCACAAACCAGGCTCAAGTGCCACCCCAGGAGGTGGTACCCACTCCCACATCCCACCTGGAGGCTCAGGGTCCTGCCAAAATGTGCTGCTTTGTTCTCAGTGCTGGGGATGAAACCTGGGTATGGCAGCCACCCCCTGATGTGTAAGATGTTGGCTCTTAAAATATGGCCTGTGGTACACGCTGCAGATACAAACAAATCAATCCAAAGGCTGGAAGCATATTGAATGCCCTCAAGGGCAGGCTGATCAAACACACAGAGCTGAATGAACAAATCTGCAAGCTGCTGAAAGCAGGGATGTAAACAAGTCAGGGATCTGGTCAACTGCTAACACCAAAGGAAAAGCAGAAAAACAAGGGTCAAAGAGGTTTAACTTAGTTGAGAGGCCAAAATTCCTCTGTACAGCTAGTAAAGCAAATAATACTAGTGAGTTTTCTGTTAAGAGTACTGCTCACTGCTTGTAACCATATATATGAAAAATGTTCTTTTAAAATAATAATAATAATAGTAAACCATACAGAAAATGACTGTACTTCAAGCAGCTTCAAATATGTTATTGTCTTTTTCTAAAATTAAATAAATACAAAGCAGCACATGGAGAGGAGCAATCTAC